TGGGGGGGGTGAGTTGGGCCCGGAGGAGGCACACACTGGCTTCCTGGGGGGAGGGAGAGAGAATCCTGGGAGGAGGCAGATGCAGGGGACTCTCTGCCTCCACTTCCCCCCCGTCCTCACTGCCCCATTCCTACTCCCACATTCCCACTCCCCACCGCCCAGTTCCCTCTCCCCAGCCACAGAACTTTGTCCCCACTCTCCTGTCCCCAGCTACAGAACTCTGTCCCCATTCCCATCCCTCATTCCCCTGTCCCGAGCCACAGAACTCTGTCCCCACTGGCACCCTGTCCCCTGCCAAAGCACCCACTAGCACCCTTCCCCAGTACTATGTCCCCTGTTCCCAACAACACAGTTGGGGCCACTTTAGTGAAGCTTGGTGGGGGGAGGAAGAGGAGGGTTTTTTTGCATCTCACTTGTGTGGCCCCAACTGATTTTCTTGGGTCAGTGACCCCTGACTCAAGACAGGTTACCTGCCCTTCTCAGAAATAAAGACAATGCAGAAACTTTTTGTTTGACACAGTATTTTATTTAAAAATGAAGCCTGGCCAACAAACCCCAAACTGGGGCCAAGCCCCCATCTGGCCACAGCATCATAACACTCCTGTGCTCCCCTTTCCCTTAGACCCTACATCTGAGCCTATCATACACTGGAACCCCCTGCCCTGAGCCCCTCAAATACCCCAACCCAAATTCCTGAACCCTCACATCCTGAAGTCTGTGATCTGACCCCAGCACTGTCCAGCCTGGTGCCCCCTCTCCGAGCCAGTGTCCCCTTATCCACCTTCTCCTGCATCCAGATTTCCTCCCAGAGCTTGCACCTCTCACCCCTTCCCACACTCAAATCCCTCATTCCCACCCCAGAGCCTACACATCCTGTCTCAACCCAGCAAGGGTACGGCTAGACTGCAGGAGTTTTTCAGGATTCCGGAGATATCCCAGAAAAACTCTTCTGCATCCAGGGATGCATTTGTTCTTCCATTTCTTTTAGTGGAAGAGCAAACATGATCTTTTGGTCACCTCTGTATTCCTCTTTCCACAAGGAATAAGGGGGCTTCCAAAAGAAGGGGTTTTTCTGACATTTGGTCCAGTCTAGACAGGCCAAATATTGGAAAAACCTCTTTCTACAGAAGAATTGGGGAAAAAAAGCAGCAGTATAAGGGTTGGGGATAACCAAGTCTGTTATGGACCTGAAAGGTTTGTGCCCATATAAGATGGGAATGTGCATGTCAATCATTCTACATCTCATTAATTCAAAGCACATGAGAAAAAGTAACAAGTATACATTCTTTGGGCTAACATCTCAGAGATACTTGTTATGTTGAATCATGCAAATGGTGAGGCATTGAAAAGGATGGTTAAACAATATGTCTCTGCTACTTTCCATGCCTGCAAAACCACAAGTAAGTGGTTCATCAACAGAGCTGCACTTGACTCCTCCAGAGAAGAAAATTCAAGCTATCCTTCTAAAAGAACAAATTTGCCATATTAAAAGATAGTATGGATGCCAAAATCTACATGAAAATAGTTTATGTTTACTCATTCATTTTCCAGCTCATTATTGCTTTCAGTGGTCACATAATTCATGCAGATAACTTGCAATTTGCATCCAATTCTGTACGGAGGAGTGCATTCACTTTCCTGACAATCTCTTGTCTGGTTTTGCCTGACAGGAAGTGGGGATGAGTGAGTGAGCGGAATTACCAAACCATGATTGGGCCAGGCTGCCTGGGTTCCCTTCACACTTCAAATGTTGCAGGGGAAGTGCCAAAACCCATATAAGATCTTTAACTCTCTATACCAAAAAAGTCTCAAACTTTTTATGTCACGCCCTCCCATACCTGTAATGTAATGTGTCTGCACCCTTCCAGGAGCCTGCTCCTGGAATGGGGTTGGGCGCTGGAGCTACAGCAGAGGTTGTGGCCAACAGTGAGGCAAGGCCAGAAGCTGGGAGCAGGAGTTGCAGATGGGAGCCAGGCTGCAGTCAGGAGGTAAGGTTGGGGGCAGGAGCTGAAGTTGGGACCTCGGCTGAGGGCAGGGCTGAGGCCAGGGCCAGACTGGAGATTGGTTCAGAGTGGGGATGGTTGTCCTGTGCCTCTGATCTCTGTTCCTTGAGCATTCATACACCTGCCACAAGAAGGAAACAGTTCAGATATCAATCATATCAGAGGAAAAAATGCCCAACATACATACAGCAACACCAGAGGCCTTACGAACAAAAGCAGACAGAGACCACAAAGACCAGTCCACCAGCAGTATCTCAACCTACTTCCTCTAATAAACAAATCTGAAAGCCCAGCGTTTACATCATCCACCCATCTGTGTGTATGCCATTTGCTTCCATTCTTCCTGAAATGGCATGCCATCACCACAAACAAATGGACCCAAGAAGTCATCCAAGTGGGCTATAACTTCCTTTCCTGTCTTTACCCTCTACCCACTGCTCCTCCCCATCCCTCTTTAGTGACCCACTCAAAAATATTTGCTAAGCCAAGATGTAGATCATCTCCAATTAGGGGCAGTGGAAACTGTTCCCATACAACATGGGGCAGGGAT